CAAGATACCGTCCTAAAACAAAAGTGACTTGTGAGAGCTCTGTGACATGTGCGGTAAATATTAGCGCTCGAAATAAGCGTGAACGTACGTTGCTCAAAGAACACTTGAACTGCGAAACGTCTACAGAATTGGGCAAAAGTATTGCTCTGCAGAACTCCCGGCTGCGGAAACTGTTATTTGTCTGTTCCTGACTCTTGGCCTGAACGTACAGATTCCTGCCCTCCTGACGAACCTCCACGTCTTCTGGTCGAAACTGGCTGACATCGAAACTAGCCTGGAAATGCATCTGTGTAAGAGAAAACAGTAGTCGAACATAATAGTGACTGAGGTGAAATTTGGCAAAACATCTAAAGGAATGGGACTGTAGACGAGATTTAAATAGAAAAATTCAAAAATCTGTTTTTGATTAACAAGGATTAATCCGATGAGGTTATACCGCTGATCCCTGGACGAGGTAGTACTATGATACTTAAGTCACGCCATGATAACGTGTTTCAATGAGCTTCGTTTTGGCCGTCTGCCAAAAATGCGATTGGTAATATAGATAACATGTTTGACGTGCTTTTTCTGCAATGATTTTTGAGCGATTGTAAACTGCAATACACTTCATAGAATACAAACAGAAGAATAGTATTTTCTTGTTCCCGAATACTTTTGAAATTAGTCTGACTTTGCCCTTCCGATAGGGTATCCAAAATACATCCTGCACATATTTCCTGTAAGGAAAGTCACATGATATGATATTAAAAAAGGTCGTAGAAAGATCATCAAATTTTATAATGAATGCAGGCAAGATTGTGCACTTCCAAAACAAACCGATAGGAAATTTTATGGTCTTCATAAATCTCGTAATTACAAAATTTGTCAAGTATAATATTTGAATAAGACAGTGTTTAAGACCAAATATGCAGGGAAAAAGCTTTTCAGCCTGTTTCCGAACCAAAATACAGTATGGGCTAAAATCGTGCAACTTTCATAATTTTGTACAGGTTTGATCATTACCCTCATACTGGTGTAAACGCATTTACGAAAACTGAGAAGTAATAATGAACAACATTAGGCATATTTAAAACTTAAGAGAAGTATAAGAAGTGTTTATTAAGAAAAATAAAATCCCCAAGTTCTGGAGACGTAAAAATAGCTGTAAATTAAAACGGTAAATTTAAATAATATGTTAATCTGAAAACTTTATGCAACCAACTTCTTTATATAAAAAGAAATTTTCTTCAGTCAGAATGTTTGTACATGTTACCATTACTACATAACTATTTATTTAATATGGTCCTTTAAGTTCTGGCATAATTTCCTGTGTTCTCAGTGTCTTCATTTGTTCATCCATCAATTGATATTCTGTATGTTTGAATTTATAAATTTATCATAAACCAGTGGAAAATATCGTACTAATCAACTTGTCACGCTTTGCTGAACAGGGATGTTGAGTGCAGCCGATTAGATTACGTTCAAAAACTGACATCTTGGCGCGTCTGAAATATTTTGAGATTGAAATGCACTAGAATAAAAAGTACAACTCGCCCTAAATAATCCTGCCGGCAAGATTGTCTTGTATTGCCGCCTAAACCCTTATTCCCCCGCCCAACTGTCTAACGAAATTGAGCGTTAAACATTTAGTTCAAGCTTAACAAGTGTGAGTGCATATGTAATTGTGTCATAAGTGGCCAAAGAATATTAAATTAAAGCCAAGTATTGTTGTTTTAATAGAATCAATTCCATCGACATAAACTTCTGGTGCTCAGGAATTTAGTGCCCATTGGTGGAAATATGGCCTTATATTGGGGGAATAAATCGAAAATAAATAAATCGGACCTTATATTAACGGAATTTAACGAAAACGGTAAAGTAGGGCTACTGCAAAATTTAAAAATAGATTATTGTTATAAGTGACAGTGAAGAAGGCCCTCTAAAAACAATCCTACCATCCTACAGAATCAAGAAAACATTTCAGAATTTTGGATTAACTTTTCGAGGCAAGCTAGCTAGTAAATGTCTCTGACGGCACAAATGAGTGCTTAACTCACCTTTCCATCCTCACCAACTTGAAATGCGTCCTTGCTTGTGTCTATATCAGCGAATCCAGGGAATCCTGAAGGCATCCAGTCCAAGTCCATCGACCTCATGTGGTTCATCATATCCTCGTGCATTTGTTGCATTCTGTTGCGTGCGTGATCGAAGAAGGAAGATCCACTGCCGGGCTGAAATCCCCACATTTCCATGGGCTAAAACATACACGGAAATGCATTGAGTTTTTAGCTTTTTGAGTCCACTGTGTGCAATTGTACCT